AGCTCCGCTTTAGTTCGCGCCTAATAGCTCGTCTGGTCACATTGTGCGCCGAGCCAACCAGGAGGTTTCATTTAGATTCCAACAGGTTCCACGACCTCTAGGATATCCAGTGACTGGTGCGGTGATTACTGATAGTGCAACAAGCAGATGCTCCTGCGTCGTGCATGGCGGCCGAGATCCTATTCAACGAAAACTCAGTGTCATTGGAACAAGACAGCGAAAGTTCGGTATACAGTGCGTCTTGATAAGCTTGCCTGACCGAGGGCTGAGACAATTTCCCAGTCACCAATCGGAGGGGAAACTTGGTGCGTCTCTCGGTAAAGTTCTTGGAGAAACGACGGCGTACCAAGGTATGACCATAGTCGGCGCAGGTATTGGAGCACGAGCGGCAATCCAGGATGGGACCACGCCATCTGTGGTCAATTTGTGTTCATCGCTGGCCAGCTACAGGAGGACGCCAAGTGGCACTTCGGCGCCCACTGTGTCTAAAAGCATCGCTACTAAGAAACAACTGGTGCTCCGTACACAGCTGTAGCAGACGCTCACCGTTGTCAGTCCGGCCGGAGTTAAGCTCATAAGTACTATCCAGCTCAGCTACTGAGGAGCTCAGACGCCCTCATTGTGCATTCATATCCCCTGCAAGTACTATAATATCTGAACTAGTAGCACTGCATAGTAGCGCGTTCAGTTCGTGATAGAATGTGTCATTGACAGCATTTGAACTGCAGTCGGTGGGGGCATAGGCGGAAATCACAAACAAACGACGTTTTGTACTAATTCGTGAATCAATCTTGGCTGACGTCGTCAAACGGGCTGCACATAAACGGCTGTTCACCGGAATCCAATCAACCAACGATGACTCAGCCTTGGAGCTTAGAATGATACCTACACCAGCTTGACCCGTGAGTGCTGCATCGGTGTCTCCGGATGCGTGCAACTAATAAGGAGAGAACCAGCTGGGTGCAGTTAATTTAACAACCCCATTATGGTCATTGATCCTAGTTTCGGACACACAACACACATCAATATCCAGTGTGTCCGAGGTGCGTGCGAGTGCAGCCTGTTGACCTGTTTGTCTTAGAGTGCGAACGTTGAAGGTCGCCATGGAAACGGAACAGCATGGCCTTATAAGAGACTGTTGCCGATGGGCGTCCGGTGCGCGTCGCGAGGTGGCTGCAGATGGTTCTACTCCAGTGGCACTTCGGTTGCTGTCAATTAAGCTGGGAACTATAGAAGGAAGGTTAATAATGGGGGTCGAGATGGGAGTAAGAGAAACAGGCGGAAAAGAAAGAAGGGGGGCGCCAACAATAGCATGTTTTCGTTTGTACGCAATGCAGTATGCAGCAGATAAGACGACCCTTGATAATCGGCGCGACGGCCGATGCAGGATGAAGTTTATCTTTTAAGAAAAAGTTATGGTTGCATGTGGGCTGGGATACTGTCAAAGCACCCAGACATAGACAGGAGGACGATTAGGGTCATCATCCAAAGCCTTTGGCTCAAAAGCCTGTCCGCAAGGCAGCGGGGAAGTGGTAATGATTTAGTTTCGCAGTAATGGACGCTATCCGATTTCAAACCCCCAACCTGGAGGACCAGGAGACTGAGTTTTCCTGAGCTCTCAACATTGACCAAGCTGGTAGGAGTATCTCTCAATGTGCCCGCAGACACCACCCAGTACAGCTCAATAGGTCAAGGAGGTACGGATACCGTCGCACCACGTTAACGTCTAGTCTCGTTGCAACGGAGTAACTGAGGCTTCAACATAAACCTGTGGAGACTGTGCACGGCTGTGTGAGTTGGAATTCAAGTCACCTCTGGTTGCTTTGGCGATTCGTGTCTCAAGTTGCTTTTCGTCTTTCGGCGCATAATCTAAATCTTATTAAGCATAGGCCTCTCAGTTACACTTGATTTGGATGACGTTAGACTCAGAAACGTCGTCGGAGAGCGCTCCCTAAGTGCAGTAACTAGGTCAATCGTAGTTCCTTTTGCAACGGTTTCCGTTTTCCCTAAGTTGACAGCAGCAGTCGTGCATAATCGCTTACATACAACCTGAATTCCCGTAAGCGGAGGGTGCGGGACCACACTACTCTTCAATATATCATTGGAGTCATTCGAAAGAGGTTCTCTTTGAGAAGTCTCCAGAACATCGAGGACTGCTGTAGCCGTGATTCATGAGTAGGTAGAAGCATCCACCAGGGGATAATGAACCCCACGAGCTAGAGTAGCATAGTATTAACACCGAGGTTGTGATTGAATTGTTGGTTCATTGGTACAAAAGAGCTGAATTTTAAGTCATGCGACGGTACTAGAGGTAACTTAAGCGCGTGATGCGAGCGTATCTAGGGTCACCTGATAAGGATCATTTGGTTGACCAGCTAATAGACACGCTCGGTTAAAAAGAAGACCCTGACGAGTCCAAATAGAGCGAAAGGGGTGTCTGGTGCTTTTCCGGATTGGTAGTTATCTGAATTGTCGGCTGTTTGCGAAGAACACAAAACACCCGCCAAAATCCTTCTACTCATATGTAGATCCCGATATATCAGGTTTTTGAACTCTACTAACATCAGGCCTGCAAGACCCTTCGGGTGAGTGTTTGCTTTCTTCCATCTATCAACATGTTGGCTCATTTTGATCCCAGCGAGAGGCGCTGTACCAACAATACGTAGCATATCGTGAACACGTCTCCTATCCACATCAAGCCTAATCTTAGCCTCCTGTATCCCAGCTTTTCCTGGTTGTAAATAATCCCATTCCTCTGCCTGCCTGCCAATAGCAATTTCAGTATTACGTACCTACTGCTCGAAGTGTGAATGCATTTCCTCAACTTTTGCTCGGAGCTCTTCGATGACAGATCCCTGTTCCCGGATCATCTTTCCTGTCATGCTGAGCCTATTCAGATCTTCCTCTTCCAAGGCATTTTGCCTCTCAGTGACATGACGAGGCTGAATCAAAAGTTCTCCACTCAGCAGACGCGAGCAAATGTCCGCCAAGCACACACAATGAAAACAAACACACTTCAATTTAGGGTAAAGTGAATATAAATCAATGGACTCCTCGTCCAGCCGTGAACAGACATAGTTGTACCATAGAAGGCATCTGTCATACTCTATGCCTTTTTTTACTACACCCTTACAGCTATGCTCAACACAATAATTAGTGTCTGTTGACTCCATGATCAACGCAGTGAAACCGAAAATAGTCGAGAAACACTAGGTTTAGCTATGTAGATAAGGTGAGATACTACAACAGAAGTAAAAGAATGCAGAGTATTATAAAGTAACAACATAACAACAAGCAAAAAGGGGAAAACTGCTTAGCCTATATTGGCTAACAATATGACACGAAAATAATAGAGCGAGATCAGGGGTAAAATAATAGGTGCAGTCTTGTTCTTGTCTTACTTCCTATGTACAGGCAAGTAAAGCAACGCAAACGTCGAAGTGCAGGTAGGCGGCCGTGGTCTGCTTGCTTGCACAACAAACAGATCGCTCGCTTGGCGAGAGTGTATCTCGATAGGACAGGACCAAGTTAGAAGTCAGGTCAGATCAGGTTCCAAGGACGATACAGGCCTCCGCCTATATATATATATATATATATATATATATATATATATATACTTAATAAACATTTGGCAGAGCACCACAACACATGAGTAACAATAACAACAAGGAGGGAGTGAGAGTCAGTTGAATGGATGGTAAGTACCATATGTTGTGTGACTATTGAGCTTGCCGGTTGCCCAGACCGATGAAGGGGGTTGACTTAAGGCATGACACCCCGAGCCTTTGATCTTAAAGACCTGACCCGCAAGTCAGCGGGGTGATTCACGAAGAACGTTGACAGCCAAATGGCTCATTCGCCTTCTTTGTGTTCCGAAGCAGTTCACAGAGAAACCGGTGATCTGCAAGGTTGTTCATCAGCTCACCGTTAGATACTCACCCCCAGTTACAGGAGTGAGTGGTCAGTGACCCTACAGCCGGTCACACTGGCTATGATGCAGCGCCATACGAGCAATTGTGGTATTTAATTGAGAAGCAGGAGACCAGCCGAGAACTCCCCATGCTCTGAGACGCTACCGCTGATGATCCGCGATTGTTTATTCATCACGCCTGCAACACAAACGAGACTTACTCGCTGTTACCTCCACATAATAGGCATTCCGCGATCCGCAACCTGGGGACGCGCCCAAAAGCGTACAGCTCAGCCACGGGCGTAAGCAAATGAGAGTACCAGGTACTTCGACATCTGATTTACTTTCGCCGGTTCTGCAAGAGATTAAAGCGAAAACAAAAGCACTCTCTGTACTGTCACGCAGTACGAGGTTACAGAGACACGATACATTAAAATTACAATAACTCAGGAAAAAATTCAGACCAACGTCTATCTAGGCCTCTATGGTACTGCATTCCAGTTATTAACTACACGATTCATAAAGAATTTCGCCCTGAGTTCCGGCCTAAATCTCTGATGCTTGCGTTTCAGTTGGTGTCCTCGCAGGTGATCTGACCCAGCTAGCTCAAAAAATTTAATATACTGGATAGGACTAAAACCATTCACGATTTTAGTGGTCTTTATTAAATCCCCTCTTAGTCTGCGCCGTCCCGTTGTATACAGACCTAAGATCCTTAGCATTCATAGTATGGCTTGTCACCTAGACTCGCAATCACCCTAGTAGCCAGTTTTTATACTTTTTCGATACATGACACGTTTTTCCGGCGGTAAGGAGCCCAAGCCTATAAACAGTAATCTAGAGAACTTTGTGTAAGGAAAAAAGCTTACCTCTAGTGCTACATAGAGATCCTTTGAGATGAATCAATTCATTCCGTACTTTGTTGGCAGTATGCTTATATTGTGCTGAAGGTATGTTGTTCACAAATAACAAACAATTACCATTAGTTACATTAAAATATAAAGGTATAAACCTAGAAGTTTCATTGCGTGCAGGATACTTCTACGTTATAAATCATTATACTTAAAGCTCATATTAACGTGCAATTTACCTGCCCAATGTTACACTCTCCAGTTGTCTTTCGCGGATCGGTTCCACCCTGGCTTCGTCAAGTGCGCGGAAGTGAGAAGCCAGGAATGCGGGCGCGGTCGCATGGTTGAAATGACCTGCGGCAATGATTACAGTATGATTCTATTTGTCATCCATTATAGGTGTGGAATCCAAAGAAGCTTCTGTTGTTGAATATTATGCCCTATCACATGTTATGGATAATCTTATTATTAATCTATGGCAATAATACGATTAGTTCCTCGATTGTGCAAAGATATATGCCAACCGTCAAAAGACAATTTTTTAAATGACAGATTGACTATAAAGCACTCTAGCTCAACATAATTTGCCATACTCTTCCAGTATTGATAAGAGTGAATGCAAATTCCTGGCTCTTTCCCTGGTGGATCGGGACCACAACGTGCCAATTTTATGTTTCCGCCACCCGCGCATTTGACAGGCCCCCTACTCTGCCTCCCAAATAAACGGCGCTTTAATTTATGAGAGAGTGACATCCTTGAACCTTGGTAATTGTTGAAACATTTAAACATATTAGTTATATATGAAAACGCGGAGTGAACAGCAGCTCACCAAGGCAAGTTCCAAAGCATGCTATAGCTGCCCGCAAACAAAAAGGAAATGCTTCAGATTAATAGGGTTTTCACAACTTTCCAATCTCAAAATCAATTTCCGCAAGTCATAATTCGTACGTGCTGTTTGAATAGTTGGAAGACAGATTAGAATTAAATTCTGAAATCTGCGCTTACGTCGTTCTTATTTTTTTGCTGGTGCTGTTGCTGCGCATGTATGCTGTCATCCAGTTACCATCATAGCCGATTCCCTACCCTGGAATTATAAATCTACACCTGTTTCCGTCATGCGTCATGCATGTACAACAGTTGTAACGTTCCCGGTAACTCAAAATGAACTGTGGTTTGCATGCGTGTCGCCTTCATGTTTTTATCACATTGCTTATTGAACTGAAGCCACTTCTTTTCTTGTAATACACTACATATTTTGGTGATTTGGTGTTTTCGCACATCCATAGTTCGTTGGCAGGTCTTATCCGACTGTAGATGACTTTTTTACTGATTTGTCTAATTTTCGCTTCCTACTTTTGGAGTTTCAAATCCTCGCATAAGGTTTTATTCCCAGGTAGGTACTATACAATTTCGGTGACGGATATTATACTATGCTTGACTGTACGTTGCCTACTTTTGTTATAGTTATAGTTCCTATAGAATAGATGCTGGCCAGATTCCATAGTCTATGCAACTCATGACAATAACGAAATGCAGCCTTGCAGTACTCAGTGAATTTTTGTATCATTTCCCAGTAAAATATTTTGCTATTTATTTTGCTTCAACGCCAAGTCGCCGTGGTTTCCCGCATATTTCAAAAGGCTTCTTATAATATGATGTTCAACTTGTTTGAAATACGTTTGGCAGAAATAAAGCACTAAAGCCTACAATACCTTGGTCAATGTATACTCGCTTTGGTTCGAGAAAAATGTAAAAAGCCACACCGTTGTTTTATGGGAAGCTTTAGACTAGTTTATACTAGTCCGAGATGGTGCGCGAAATAAGGCGGGGATATCAGAAGGCAGTTGGAGTCGGACACAGCGGACTGTATTCGAGGGGCCACAATAAGAATCGGACGAATGAAGCGAGGCGAGAGCGAACACGTGAGCGCGGAAACTTACAAGCAGTCGAGCCACGAGCGGGTTGTAAGGAAGATTAAAACAAGAAGGAGTAATGTACAACCGGTCAACCTGTAAATTGTAGATGAAAGATAGCAGTTATCTTTTAGGGCACTACAGGGATCCCACCTAGTAGGCTGAACATAGAAATCCTTCTTAATCGAAAAGGAATGTTGAAACGAGCTTCGTAAGGCAAAATCGTGCCGAGTTAAAATGAGCGTGCGTTCGTGTCAAGTGGGAATTCGTGGGCAGTCTGTGACCGCCGTGCCGTTTGTGCTTCGTTATTTATTGATTGCATTGCAGGGTGCATTTCGGCGAGCCGGTGGAGGAGGCTTGTCGGGCTACAAAAAATGGCTAGCCTAAAAAATGTCCGACAGGACCTCAACCTCCGCTGCTACCAAACGGTGTGCATGTGAGTGGTCTTTCTTCCCACTGCCCAAGGCCCTGCGCCTAAACGACCCTCGTACCACGGAGAAACGACCCTGTTCCAACGGAGAAGCGAACCTTGTCCAGCGAAGCAGCGACACTCGTCCGGCGAAGAAGCGACACTCCTACGCGGAGGAATGAATGGCCTTCGTGTCAAAGTCCTAGCAAACATTGCTCGTGTGGGCCAGTCGATCGCTAGGGAGGGTTGGGGCATGTAGAGACAAAAAAGTAGAAAAACATGCGCAGAAAATGACGAAAAGAACGAACGAGTGATCTGCATGTTTTAACTTTTTGGTTTTTGGATATTTTAAGAAAGGTTTTCCGAGGTTTTTGATATTTTTGTTTGTTTTTAAAACGTTAATCGACCAAAAATAGGGCAACTATATGCCACATCTAAAAGCTAAACCTATTTACACTGTGCATATTCGGAAAAACGAACGGGGCTTACGCACCTCTCGACCACGGCGATCGGTCGTGGTAGGTCAGGTCAGGTCAGGTCAGGTCAGGTCAGATGGACGATAGAGGCTTCCGCCTAACGAGCGTCCAGTTCTTGTGCCGGTAAGTGAAGCGACCCCCGGCACTTCGACGTTGGATTGTCTCTTCTTGCTTCTGCAATGGAATGAAGCAAGAACAAGAGCAATCTCTGCACTTTCATTTGCCAGCATCAAAATACACTACATATTAAAGTACAACTACAATATTTCTGGAAAAAGGATGGACCAACAATTGTCTAAGCCCCTTTTGAAGGCTTCTACGGTCTCAGACTCCACTAACTCAGAAGGGAGTTTTTTCCAGTAGTTAACTACCCGGTTCGTAAAAAAATTTGCCCTGATGTCCAAACGAGCTCTGTGATGTTTAAGCCTCAGGCGATGCCCGCGCAGCTAATCTGACGTAGCCAGTTCAAACAGATGGGTGGAACTAATACCACTAAGTCCCTTAATGATCTTAAACGTCTCTATCAAATCCCCTCTCAACCTACGCCGTTCCAGAGAAAATAATCCTAAGCTACTTAGACGATCTTCATAAGACTTCCCTCAGAGACCTTCAATCATCCTGGTCGCAAGTTTCTAAATCTTTTCTGTACAAGTGATGTCACTACGGAGGTACGGTGACCAGGCTTGAACGCAATACTCCAGATGTGGCCTGACCACTGCTTTATATAAGGGCAAGAATACTTCTGCTTTAGTGTTACTCAGCGCCCTCCTAAGACGAAATAATTCGTGTATTGCTTTATTGGCAGCATGGCGACACTGTGCCGAAGGCTTAAAATTGTTCGCTACGATGACACCTAGATCACGGGCTTCGTCAGTGCACCGCAATGATAGAAATCCCACAGGAGACTGAACTGCAATTCCGCTACCACTACTAGTCAATAGTTGACATTTGTTGGCATTTAGAGGTAGGTCCCATTGGCTTGACCAATTCGCCACAGTGATGACGTCCTTAGCCAATGTCGCACGGTTTCCCCTACTGACCAGCTTCAAGTCATCTGCGAAGATGTAGCAGGGGTCCTCAAGAAGAGGAGCCAGGTCATTTATAAACATAAGAAATAGCAATGGACCCAGAATCGAACCTTGAGGGACACCACTGTAGGCATGACCAACACTAGAATTCGCTTCCCCAACGCTGACTCTGAATGTCCTTCCACGTAAGAATTCAGAGAGCCATAGTAGTAGTTGAGGATGTAATCCAAACCATGTCAGCTTCTCAATTAAAAATCGATGATTCACGGAGTCAAAGGCTTTACTGAAGTCTAAATAGCACACCTCTACCGACATCCCACCATCAAGACAACGGGTAATCTCGTCCAAGAAGCACAATAAATTAGTAAGACAAGACTTCTTTTCGAGAAAGCCATGCTCTTCCGCTCTAATTAGATTGTGCTCAGTCAAGTGCACACAGATCCTGTTCCTTATAAGCTTTTCCAAGAATTTCAGCATGATGCTGGTCAAACTAACAGGTCTATAGTTAAGAGGCACCGACTTAGAACCCCCCTTGTGGATGGCAACAATAGTCGCCTCCTTCCAATCACGTGGCAGCTTGCCTTCTTGAAGAGACTGGTTGAATAACTCCACTACGGGATACTGGAGGATATCAGCCAGAGGCTTAACTATGGCGGGATGTACGCTATCAGGACCGGTTGATTTATAAGGGTTCAAATTGACCAGCACTGTGAAGATCTCTGACACATTGAGAATAATTTCCCGCATTGTGTAGCTAGTTGAGCAGTGCGGTAGTGATGGCAAGGCTGACCCACTATCCTTCCGATGCAGGCTTTGGTAGACAGGAAGCAGCACTTCTACTTTATCGACGTCGTCTACAGCCTGGGTACCGTCCTCCATGGTTAGACAGCCGACCACCTCTCTTAAGGAAGCCTTTGACTGGACATAACTGTAATAACACTTGGGATTAGTTTTCGCAATTTTAGCCAACCTAAGCTCATATGAGTACTTCGCCTGCCGCTGTAGCTTAATAGCCATGTTTCGACACCTTTTGTACTGCAGCCAGCGTCGAAAGCCCCGAATTTCTTGATATTTTCTCCACTCAGCATTGCGCCTCTTTATCGCTCTATCAATTTTTCTTCTCCACCATCGGGGTTTCCCAAGATGTCTCCTAGGGCGAAGAGGAGCAAATTCATTCAGCAACTGTACAAGTCCACTTTTAAGTAGAAGCCACCTCTGTTAAAAAGTGGCCTTGTCCTGTTCAGGGACCCAAGTGATTTGAAGGGCTCGATCCCGCAATTTCGTAACATCAATACGATTTAAACCTCTTCCCATTCGACGGTTCGCTGCAAGCCTCGGTGTGTCCAGAGAAAAGGTCAAAACACAATGATCACTCTTACCTATGGGTGGCTCCACGCATAGGTCAGTTAAGTGACCATGTCTGGCGATCACGATATCAAGGGTTGAAGGGGTACTCCCAGCACGACTTCTAGTCGGGACATTGACGTATTGCTCGAAGGCATTTCCGTG